AACTTTTAAAAACTTTTTATTACTTGTGGGACTTCAGGAACATTCCTCCTTTGAATGCTTTTGTAGAGGTTGTTTGCATGCCCTGACTCCAGACTGGGTGCTTTCTCTTCCTTTCCCTGTAAAACTTAGGTCACTACATTGCACAACGACAAGTGGCCAAAAAAAAAAAAAAAATCAATTTGTAATCTGATTTGAGGGTTTTGATTTCCTCTGATGAGTTTAAATTTCATTAAAAGCAACCTTATTCTCACATAAAAGAACTCCTTGAAGGGTAAAACAGGGAATTGTCTCAAAGAGTATAAAGAATCTCCGCTCCTTTGTGCTATTTATTCACGGCATTAATTGTGGGGTCCGGCGGGCGGTGTCGGTTGGCAGATGCACCATTATCGGCCCCGGGATCTGCGTGAGGAGGGGAGGGGAAGCACAAGGGCTCACATTCAAAAATCACTCTGTGCCGTATCGACACTTTAGTTATCAACAGCCCTTATTATCTGCTTAGCAGCGGATCGCAGCTTGCCCGTGACATAATAAGCTACAAATCACTGGTGGGGCCTTTCTGCATTCTCCTAATTGTGTGTATTCTCTGGAAAAAAATTATCGTCGGGCCTCTTGTCTTGATGAGAAATTGACATTTTCTGCGGGAGCCTGGCGAGGACTATGTGGGGAGATAAGACTTATAGTTGTTTTAAAGGAGTGCAGCCATTCTTTCAGAGGCCTCTTTATTGCTCTAGTTGACCCACTTGATGAGTATGGATTTCATGAGGTCTTTTTCAGCATTTGAACTATAAAAGGTTCAGAATGACACCACCCCTTATAGACAAAAGATAACCTTGCCCTTTGAATATATTGATTCTTTATTAACTAGGCTGTTTAATGCAATGAAATGAGGCATTAGATTGAAGCCTATTTCAAGTGCTTTGAATAATCTTTAAAAGCTTGAAAGACTTTTAAAAGCTGCTCTGCAGTAATTGGCGTATACTTTTAGAGACTGTTATTCCTTCATTTTTGATTAAGGAATTTTTATCATCTTCTTATGTCTAAACTCACTGTAGGCTGACACAACATATTTCCTCACCAGGGCTATTACCCAGCTACAGATGTAGGTGGTGGATCGCTCTAGGACTTGTCACTCCTAGTACAGCTTGTGTGGGTTTTCTCCTTTTGTATTTCCTTTGCACTGAAAGTTAGAGGAACCATTTAGATGCTCATTATTCAAACCTTTGAAATAAACCTAAAAGGAAAAGCGCCAGTAGGCATCACTCAGACTTTCATCCCTAAAAACCATCTTATTTTTTTAGTGGCATGCATCTGATTATGCCGCCGTTTAAACACGATACACGGATACACATTCAAAGTGGAACAGTTTTCAATGCATAATAATAATAATAATCATCATCATCATCATCATCCAAAGTGCTCTATAGCTTTAACACCTGTTTTCATCACACCTGTTTTCACCGAACATGATAACAATGGAAATAGTGGAGAAGAAAGGAAACATGGTTAAATATCCCTGTTTTTCTCCTTCGTAGTTTGTGACTACAGTGAGCTACACCTTCTCATCACACTCCATCACTCTGCCACTAAGACACGGGGTGGTGAAGGAGGGGCTCTGGCACACGGTGTGTCATTTGGCACTACATCCACATGCACCAGTCCATATATTTACTTTGGAGCTCAGAGTTTCTCAGTGCCCTCTCGAAGTTGTCAGCAGCCCTCTGATTAATGACCGGATCAAAATCCATAACAAAATCCCTGCTTTACCACCATAGGCACTTACATTGCTCTGCCAGACCCATATTCCTGAAAAAAAAAAAAAACCAACTTTTTTTGCTGCTACTGCTCACACACAACGATACAGGAGCACACTTGGCATCTGGGGTGGGAAACTCAGACCCGGAATCAAGCAAAGCGTTGTAACTCTCTCTGACTCAGAGGCTGCATCGTGCCCTCCTCAGTATATATATATATATATATATATATGTTTTAACTCCGTTATATGTACACTGCACATACTATGGTCCAGAGGGTGAAATATTTGTCCTCAGCATTATAATTAGCCAAAGCATTTGCTTCCTTATCAGCAGTTAAAAGACGAGCACGTCGACCTTCGGTGTCCAAGTGCCGCGTGGAAAATTTGGGTTGTGCTTTGTTTAAAATAACTTTTCCTGTTTACAGACTTTTACAATATGATATTAAAATAGTAAAAAAAAAAAAATAAAATCTACTGTTACCTTCACTTTACGAAAAGGGTGTCTAAAGTGCACAGCTTTGGTTAAATAAGAAAAAGAGATATTCTGCTGTTACCTTCACTTCACAAAAAGTGAGCGGTTTTGGTCAAGTGCTGTGCCAAGGTTGAGCAAAAAAGCATTTTTCTGTGAGCAGAGGTCTCCTTCCTCATCCTCCTCCCAAGGAACTGAAAAGACCATGTCAAGGGTTGGGCTTTTTCATAACCAAGAAATAAAAATTCTGATATTTAGAAATGAAACCCCCAGTGTTGCATTTTTTCATTTCATGTTTTAGTCACTTTTTTAATAATCAAACCAGATAAAATTACTAAAAATGAAATTCACAGACAAGAAATACTTTAATTAAATATTGTGTAAAATGAACATTTTTTTATACAGTTAAATATATGAAAAAATGTACAGATAAAACAATCTTATTGTAGGGTCTTTAACAGTAAAATCTACCATTTAGTGAAGCTTTTCGTCTGGAGACAATGAAGCAATGAGTGCATTGACTAATTAATCTAAAACACAAACAGACTGCATTTATGAAGGAACTTGCAGACTTTCTTAACATGTACACGTGACCTCTTTTGTTGTTTTTTTTTTAGAGCAAAACTTTACTTAGACAAAATATAACGGAGGCAATTCAGTTCCAAAGTGACTTCTCAGGCTTTCCCACTTAGCCAGGCCTTGGCCATGCTCACAGAGCTGTATCGTTCTTCTAAACCCTTTAATAAAAGCTTTACTAAAATGTGCATTTTTTTGCCCAGAAAGAAAAAAACATTAAAAATAATAATAAAAATAATTTTAAAAAGTGATCCCTCCTTTTTGGTTAAAACGTGAATTCTGCTGCAGTTTGCAATGTGTTTTGCAGTGCTGTGCTGGCAAACCAGTTAGTGCAAAGGAAAAATAAAAACAACTCCACGTTTTTCTTGCTGGGTTTGGCACTAAGAGCCACGGAATATAACGGAGGTCATTCCAGTTTAAAAAATACAGTCAGCTATGGGTCATTTACAAAAGGTTCCCTAAAAAAAAACACCCCAAGAAACCTAAATAAACAACTCCCAGACATTAAAAATTCGGTGTGATCCTGATTTCCCGTGTTGGAGCAGTGCAGGGTTTGGGAGAATGCAGAGTGCAGCAGAAAATCGACACAGAAAGGAGTGGGAGAATTGTACACCGGGATTGTGCTTTTTTTTTTCCTCTTATTTTTTACACCAGAAATCATCCAAATGAAGTCGTGATTAACAATTGTGGTGTAAGCCTGTGATAAAACAGCACAAAAGTTCTTCAAAGAAGTTCACTTTTAAGGCATCAGAGAAGTTCATGTGGCAAACATTTTAATTAAAACATCAGAAGTGAATTTATTTTTAAACTTTAGGCCTCTGAATTTTTCCAGTAAACACAGTTCAGCTATGTGGCAAAGTCATGGGTGGCAGCTAAAAATGACTTTTTACAATCTTTAAAAAAAAAAATAAAATAAAAAATAAAATAAAAACAAACAAACAGAAATAGGAAATAAAAAAATGCAACCACAAAATAGATTCATCTTTTCTGTGGCTGTATCACATGCACATATTCTACTAGTATTCATTACAGCCATGTGGCACAATTTTGATTTGACTATACAACGAACGACTTTTTTCTCAAAATTATTTGTTCTGATAACTTAAAAATAATATAAAAATAAACAATGAATTTGACTTTTCCTCAAAAAAATAATAAAGAAATAAAGGATGGAAAGGCTAAACAATAGCAACTTTATGAAGTACAAATGAAATGCACGGACACTCATTTATTTAAAAGAAAAACATGAAGGCAATGGTTCTTGGCTTAATGCTTTTTTCAGCATCACGATACCAGGCCAGGACAAAAACCAATACATACAGGAACATAAAAAAAAAAAATTATGAAAAGCAATATACAAAATTTCAAAGATAAATACAATATTTATAGTTGATATGTTACAAAATAAATTCCCTTAGTGACTGCAAGTGTTTATGTGAAAGAAAGTGTTGCAATGGGTAAGACTATTTTATTCCTTATAGCCTCCATAAGGAATAAAATCTGCTTTTTGTTTTCTAAATATTTAAGTGGATCTGAAAAAAATTCAAGACAAGTGTATAAATATTTAGCTACAACTTTGGCAAAATCACAAAAGTCTACAATTTTATAACCACATACAAAACACATTAGGGAAGAAGGATCTAGAAGTCAAAAGGACAATTTTCTGGTACAAGAAACATAGACTTCACAGTAGCCTAAAATGCAATAGTATACAGTGCTAGCAAAAGTTGAAAAAATGTTGCAGATCACACTTGCTTAACAGGAAGCTCTAGCAGTGGAAGTATATTTTTTTCATTTTTTAAACCAACAGACAGTAGCAATTTCTTTTTTTTTTTTTCTCTGTCAGTGTGCTTGTTGAAGGCAAGAGAATTCAATATCAAAGTTACAATTTCTAACTACAATAAGTTACAAAGTTCCATTTCATTAAGATGAAGTTAAGCAACGATAAACCCCCCCGTGCCCGCCCCCGCGCCCCGGTTTTTTGTGTGGTTTTTTTTTTCTAATCATATATTCATCCTTATTTTTTTTTATTCTTTTTTTTCCAGTTTGATGGCTCATAACCTCCTTGGCCCCCTTTTTTTCCACCACAAAAAAATATTTCACATTATAGAGATACACAACCATTGTGAATCTAGTTATGAGTACAGAAAAATGTTCGGAGGCATTTTTCATCAGTGTTTCATGATAATCAAAATGGTGCATCCACAAAGTTTCTCCCAACACATAGCAAGTACTAGACATAGCCAAGACGTAATCAGAAACTTTATACAAAATAGGCGTCGCTTTTTCCTTATTCTCCAGGACTGAGAAATGTGAAAATATGAGAAAAATTCAGTCAATAAAATGGAATTGTTCATGAAGAAGTAGGTTGTTTGCATGTAGATTCTTAATAGTTTAAATAAAATCTTTAAACAAAGTCTTTTTTTTTCTTTTTTTTTTGTTTGTTTTTTTTTTTCCTGTAGCATTTCGATTTGTTGCTGATTCTGCGTGAAGATACTGCTTCCATCAGCATGTCTTAATATACTAAACTTGTCCCCTAAGCCCATCCTCTGCAGCTTGGTGCTACGGTAGGTAAACAAAAGTGACTTTACATTGGCGGGACTACAAGCCCGGACATGGCTAAAAGAGAAAAGAGAAGAAAAAGGAGCCGTTATTGTCACAACTGGGGGAAGGCACAGCTGGTTCAAAGCCATCGCGATGCTCAAACAGAGGATGCAGAGCCAGGTTCCTCCACGTCATCCTTGGACCAAGGGACCGTGGACACGCACCTCTCATAGCAAAACAAAGGGCTTCTCCTTGGGAAAGGAGGCTCTGAGAAGGATTTTGAGGGAAGGGCACCCTGATTCCTGTGCTCAGCTCTCCAGGCTCCCGACAACACTCCTGACCATAACACCGTTCCTTGGGGACATCCCCTCTAACCATCACTTCATGCCCAGACCAGCACCGGGGCAGAAAACCTCCTTTTCCACGATTCTACTTTATGACAAAAGCAGGACTGAGCAGCCAAGAACTCTCCAAGACCAAAGCCAAGGACCCTACATCTCCTCCCAACTCTGGAGCTCAAATGCCATAAAAACACAGTGACAGGACCCAAGGGAACGGCCTGAAGTTGTGTCAGGGCAGGTTTAGGTTGGATATCAGGAGAAAGTTCTTCCCCCAGAGGGTGGTTGGGCACTGAACAGGCTCCCCAGGACAGTGGTCACAGCACCAAGGCTGCCAGAGCTCAAGGAGCGTTTGGATGATACCCTCAGGCACATGGTGTGATTCTTGGGGATGGTCCTGTGCAGGGCCAGGAGTTGGACTCGATGATCCTTGTGAATTCTTTCCAACTCAGCATATTCTGTGATTCTGTGATTCTATCAGTAGCCCAGACCAGCCATATCCAGAGTTTTTTACCAGATAAAGACTGATATGCCAACAACCACTGTTTTTTTTCCTAGTTAACTCTTTGGTAGAAACATAATTTAGACAGTCTTTAATTTTAGTGTTGTTTAATTTTTGCCGTAGTGATATTTCTCATTAATTTATGTACAACAGATATTAATAAATTTGTTCGTGTAGTGATGTGAACTTCAATTTCTCAGTTCATTAATTTCAACAATATTAATTTATTTCTGATTCGCTGTTACAGCTTTACGGTTTGGAAGAGCTGGGTCCATACACATTTCATAGGTGACACAACTTCCTGCAGCAGCATGGTCTGCACCATCAGCGCTGCTCCAACAGATGCACCCAGAGCCCTGAGCAGTCCTGGTCCTTCTGGCACCATTTTTGGGAAGGATTTGGATGGAATGTTCTCTAAAGCACAGTTCAAGTGATGCCCTTGAAACAGGTTCAAGTTTTCCAACTCTACCACTTTTTTCCCCAATTACATGTAACAAATATGTTGAAATTGAAGTTATAATTTTTCATTTTTTATAATACTGAATTTTTTAAAGCTAAACAGCAACTGAACTTACAAAATTTAACTGGAGAATAGTGCGTATATTGGCAGAGACCCTTCTGATCCTAAACATTTAGTTTCTTCATCATGTTTTCACAGAATCCAAGAATCACTGAGGTTGGAAAAGCCCTCCCAGCCCATTGAGTCCACCCTGTGCCTGATGCCCACCTTGTCACCACCTTGTCACCCAGCCCAGAGCACTGAGTGCCACATCCAGTCGTTCCTTGGACACCTCCAGGGATGAGGACTCCACCACCTCCCTGGACAGCCCCTTCCAATGCCTGAACACCTTTTAAAGAACCCTTAAAACAACCCTTCACTAAATCTCTGTTCCACACTGCATCAGCCCGGGCCAGCAGATGACCTTGCCCTGTGTTTGGACCTGCCAAACCCCTGCTCTCAGGTTGGCTTCTCCAATGGGATTCAGTCAGCAGGAAACCTGTCACCACATCAGTCTGGTTACCTGGTGTGCACTTGAACTGGAGGATGCTGGAGATCATCTTGAGATGTTATCATAGACTCACAGAATCATTAAGGCTGGAAAAGACCTTTAAGATCATTCGGTCCACCCATCAACCAGCACCACCACCATGTTCACCACTCAACCATGTCCTCCAAGTCCATGCTGCAATAGCACCATCAGCTTCTCCATCCCTGGAAATGTCCAAGGCCAGGTTGGACGGGGCTTGGAGCAACCTGGAATAGTGGAAGGTGTCCCTGCCCATGGCAGGGGGTGGGACTGGATGGTCTTTAAGGTCTCTTCTAACCCAAACCACTCTGGGATTCTATGATTCTACTGTGTGAAAAATTAGATTATCTGCTGCATGCTTTTTTGGGGGAGGGGGTATGGGGAGGAAGTCTAAATTTTTTAATTTAACTATTTTTGTTGAATTCTCCCTGTGGCACAATGGGAGGGGGGTGCGAGGTTGGTGCTCCAGACATTTATTTCACTGTTCTTTTAGTGGCAGCATTTGACAATTGTGAATTTCTGCGCTGCGCTTCCTGCTGTGCAAATTGATACCAAATGCCTTCTTAAAGAAAAATGAGCTGGCTAGTTTTTTAATAATAATTTTAATACTTTCATCCAGGGAAAGACCAGAAAATTAAGCAGGATGCAATTTTAAAAGAATATAGAGACCCCTGTGCTCTGCATTACAGTCCTATAACCAGAGAGCAATATCTTTCACAATCTATAGAAAGTAAATTACAATTGAAAACCAAATTTTGAACATATATTGTACTTTCAACTTCACAGGGAGCCAGCAATTTCTCACTAAAAAAAAATATTTTATACCTTAAATGTCCATTGTTTTAAACAGGAAAAGACTCTCTGCCCAAAGGAACACATACAGTAGGATCCTGCTCTTAAAAAAGTATGTGAGTACTTGACTTTGTGATCATAGATTATGCAGTGGAGGCCATATGGAGTCAACAAGATTGTGGCTTTTTGGATATGGCCCAAAGGCCCTTTTTTGTAGACTTAGTCACAGGAGTGAGTCATGGCCACGGGACAACAGAGAGAGAGGTTTCTCCTCTGTGATTTGCAGCTTCCGAGTGTTGACCCTGATCAGGTACCGGCTGGCTGGGGATGGATGTGCAGCTGACATGGGTGCAGCAAGGGGGAAGACAACACATCAGCCCTGGCTGTCATGGCCTGCACCCTGACCCCTCTGAGATCTCCCCAGATTGTCTTCTTTTTTATTTGTTTTTATTCTTAACCTCTGTCTTTGTAAAATCACAGACTGGTTTGGGTTGGAAGGGACCTTAAAGACCATCTCGTTCCAACCCCCTGCCATGAGCAGGGACACCTTCCACTAGTAGGTGTCTTGGATCTCTTTAGAAAAAAATCTGTTGGCTAAAGGCCATGTTCCCTCTTGGGCAGTAGGTCCTACAATGCGGTGCGTTTTGGGGTCATGCTTCCTGGCAGCAAGATCTTGCTTCTAGTGCGGAGGGCTCAGGTGGTCCTGATGCTTAGGGTGATGTTAGCATAAGCCAGGAGGTAGAGCAGCTCAACCTCTGCTTTATACTTTGTTAGGAGACAAAAATATCTCACTCAGATCCAGGTGGAGCTTCATAGCTCTGCTCCTGTGTTCTCACCATCTTAGGTGTACCAAGAACAGCATTTTTCCCACACATAGACACATCCTGGGAGGGTTTACCCAGCAAAGATCAGTGCAATTAACCCCCAAATCCTTGCGAAAGGACCACCTGTGTCTGCATTCTTATCCATTCTTATCCATGTCCTGCCTTATCCATAAACTGAAGGATTTGCCTCCAGTACAACAACAGTGACCACGAGCTCTTACTTCCCTTTTGGGTTGACTAAATGTGTGTGAACATTTCTAACAGTGCAGACTCTTCAGCTGCCACTCAGCTCCTTTACATCCTACTCTGTAATGAGACTGTACTTCAAGATCACAAAAAAAACTTCTGCTGCATTGGACTGCAGCTCTTAAATTCCAAATTTTAACTTAATATAGAAAATGTGCTGATCAGATAACTCTCAAGCTGTTTGCACAGTGTCCAGAAAGAAACTTTAAAAAGAGCTCAATGTCCATAAATGACTAAGAAAATAGAAAGAAAGAATAGAAATTCCCTTAACAACTGTATGGGTCAAATGCAGTATAAATAAGTGCCAACACAGGAGTGTTGGTGGCTTTTCTTTATGATATCTCATGAAGGAAGGAGATGACAAATTGATCCCTGTCTTGCCACTCAGTTCTGGCAGCAGTTCAGTTCAAGGCAGTGGTTGAAATCTGTGAGGACAACTGGGGGAAGTGTTGTCAACCTGAAACCTTTTGTGAGTTCAGTCTGAATTAACTCAATAGTTTTGGTTGGGAGAAAGGATGTTGCCTCTGCTTTGAAGGAACCTGAGTGAGGTGAGGTGGTGGTGAGGCCCTGGCACAGGTTGCCCAGAGAAGCTGTGGCTGCCCCATCCCTGGAAGTGTCCAAGGACAGGCTGGACAGGGCTTGGAGCAACCTGGGATAGTGGAAAGCGTCTCTGCCCTAAGTTGGAACTAGATGGTCTTTAAGGTCCCTTCCAACCCTACCCATCCCAGGATTCTATGATGCTCTGTAAGTTCCCAAATTCCTCAAAATACTGAGCATCACTTTGTGGTGCTACTTTGCATAAACAATTCAACTTTTTGTCACAACCCTGCTCTAGTTACCACAACTCACTGCTCTAATTACCAGACCAGAAGGACATTCTCCCTATTTCTCTGTGTCATTCTGCTCAACACAAAATGATTCCATTCAGCCAGTCAAGGAAAAAGGGCAATTGTTTGTTTTCTTGCTTGTTTTCAACACTTCTATTTATTTTCAGTTTGGCTGCTGAACCAAAATCCAAAAGGATGACACCAGGTCTGCTGTTTGGATTGCAGCATCCTAAAATCAGGGATTAGTGGCATTGTTAAGTCTTCACTGGGCTGTCTGGCTGTGGAAAAAGCTTAGTCCAGAGAAAGGCTGGGCTCAGCCTAAGAGTTAAATTGATGACCTAGTTAACAAAATCAGTATTGGCTGTTTCAAAGCCATTTTCTGAGCTTCATGTATGAAGCATTTTGCACTTGAGGCTGGAGATGTACAATTTTTAAAGGCTTGGGGAGGTGCCCAAGGGACGTTAGGTGCTTGGTGCAGGCATTCAGCCCACCCTGTTCTCCTTAAAAACCCACTTTGCAGTAATCTAGTGCTTTTAAGCATCTAAACCCTTGCCTATCTGATGAGAAGCCCTGTATTTACATACTGAAATTACAGAAATTCAGATCATTTTAGTTTAGATGTTTAAATAGTTGTATTTTTCAGAGTAAATCACAATCAACATGTTAATATTGCCTCAGATTTGTCATGTTACCACATTTATAATATTTTATTTTAATTGGTTATTTTATTAATTTTATTATATTTTATTTCTATGATTTTAATTTATTATTTTATTTTTAATATTTTATTTTTCATTATATTATTTCAGTATTTACTTTTCACAGTAGTGTCTTTTTATAAAAAGAGGAAAGTAGGACACTGGATTATTTTATTAATGGATTATTCTTTCTAAGAATATCAATATAGTTTTCTCCTTACAGTAGTAACATAGTGAAGCTTCCAGAAAAGAAATATGAAAGAAACTGTTAATCTAATTATCCTTTTCTTTAACATTCATCCCACAATAATTTTGCATAGCTGAATCCTCAGCTCTTCCTTGACCTGAGTGCATAACAAGCTCTCATATGCTTTTTTGGGCCAAGAAGTGAATAACAAGCTACAGAAACATTAGTTTTGAGATCTTGGTCTGGAATGGTCTGGATTTGTGGTGGACAGACAGTTCTGTGGGATTGGGATTATGTCTCTCCGAAGTGCCTTCAGATCCCACAAAATGCAGGTGTTCAGAATTTGTTTGGCAAATTAAAATATCTGTCATCTGTTTGCCTGTGAGTGCTCATTGTATCATGGGTGTCATGGTAATACAAAGAATAAATAACACTGTACTGCTAATTCTTAACTGAGGAAGTCAAGAGGAGTGATGACCTCCGGGGTATGAGTGTCCTCAAGCCTTCCTGATTTCAATGGGATCTGAAGTGCTCCAATTTACTGCACAATGAGACTCAACCAGAGGAAAACATTCAAATTATTCTAATCCATCTATAGTCTTATCTTCTAAATGTTACAATATGACTTCAAAGTGGTACAATAGGACCTAAGTCTTCCTTTTTGGGAAGACTTTGTTCATATTTTTGTTCTTCTACCAAACATACACTGTATTGTAATTCCTCCTGCCCCACTCCCAGCAGATAACCATGAGAGTTCTGCAAGTGGTTTATATGTTGTTCCTTGCACTACCCACACAAAATCACATGGATTAAAAAGAAAAAAAATACCAAAAAAGCAAATTATTAAAATTGCCTGCCTTAAATTAAATATTCAGTTCACTTAGGGATGTAACCACTCTAACACCACAGTATGAGAGCGAGCTGGGACCACCAGAGCATGCAAACCCCCTGCATACAGGGCTACCTAGTCCAGGGGAAGGTTAGTTCACTGACTGAGAGCTTAACCTGATTTATATTAACTTCACATATTTGAAATCACTATTGCACCCTATGTAAAACAAGGAAATCACACCATGTCCTGCCGGAACGCTGCTGGATTTAAACATCCACAGAAATGTGTTCAAAAAAACATATAAAAACACGGAGTACATGAACCCTCCAAGAGGCATTCAGGGATACAGTATTCCTTTAAAATTTAAGTCACGAACTCCTAAGGGAAAATACCAGAAAAACAGCTAGTGCTTTCTCTAATGCAAGTATTAAAAATGAACTAAAGATCTCAGCAGACCATTCGTGCTACCCTATTTCTCCCCCTGCTTTTGCATCGCTACGAGAGCACCAGGAACCCCAAAAAAAATTAGCCAGGTACCTTTCTCCCAAAGAAACCATCAGGGCTTGAGTGTATGCACCAAAAAAAAAAAAAAAAAGGCAATACACAGAAAATTGAGAGAGATCCAGCTCACCTTGAAGTCCATTTCCATTTGCACTGGTGCAAGATGGTGGAGGAGAGGCTTGGGGCCTGACAACAGGAGCGAAGGCGCTCTTTTGTTTCACTGCAGAGATGACATTGGCAGGTGAGAATGAGAAAATGCCGTGTGTACTGCTACAGTTTGAAGGGAGGGTGACCGAAGAGGCTGCCATGGTAGGGCTTGACGGCACTACTGCAATAAAGCAAAAATAATCAGGACTCAGATTGAGGTTTTCACGGCAAACACGGAAAAAGAGAGTGATAGGGCCTTGCCTCTTAAAATATATATCGAAATATATATATATATATAAAAAAATATATATAAAAAAAATAAAAATGAAATGCCTTGGCTTGGCCACTCTCTGGATAACAGGCAAACTCTTTTGTGTTGGACTTTTGTTACGAATTGCGCAGTCCAATTTTTATTTTGTTTCTTTTTTTTTGTTTGTTTGGTTCGGTTTATTTTTTTTCTCTATCTGAGATTGTATTCTGGCACAAAACAGATCAATTTATTATTTTCATTTTTACGTCCAGCCTCCAGAGTCACCCCTCCTTTTATCCAGTAGCTGACAATAGAGGAAAATCAAAACAATGCAAGGAGTTGATTTGGTAGTAAATATGAATCTATATGATGATGTGTTACCAAAAATAGACACTTACTGCCGTAAGGAGAGTTAGCTGAGGAGCCATTAAGAAATCCAGGGGAACCTGGTACACCTAGATTGGGCATGCCGGCATTGCCATATCCATTCATGCTATTGCTGACTGTGTTGTAATTGGACTGCTGAGGAGTACTGCTGGGAACATATCCTCGCGGGGAAACACTGCTTGTGTTGCGACTGTAACCTACTGTGTTAGAAACCCCCCCACCCCAAAAAAATAATGTTATTTTATAAGATAGACTTAGGGCTGGGGGGTTTCCTCATGCAGCATATATTACACAGTTTTAATTGATTGCACAGCTTTGCTCTGAGTTGTCTCTCACTGCCCTATCAACTCTTGCAGCTTGAGATAACCTTATCACGCCAACCCTACTTAAATCATCCGCGAGCACTCTATGTTGTCTCTCCTCTTAGCACAGACAGCCAACAAAAGCTCTCTTCGATCCAGCTGTGTCAGGTGCCTTCACGTTTGTCTTTAGGAGCAATTATCAACAGGCTCAAGTCCCGCTTTGTACCAACACACTGCGTGAACTTTCAGCCTCTCCAGACCTTCAAATGCCAGAGCTGACAAGAAAAACTTTTTTGTTGCAGTGATTTACTTTAAAAGGCTGTTTTGGGGTCTTCATTTTGTGATTGATATTTTTATGCTAACAACAAGCTTTCATAAGGTGTAGCCATCAGTGAAAACTAATTCAAGAGCAAGTACAGAATTTTATAAGGCTTATTATCTTGGAAATGCATTAAAAGACAATCTTTTTAGAAGAGGAAACATAGTAGAATCAGGATTTTAAACAACAATTTGTTCCTATCTGAGCAATCAATTTAATAATTATGTTGGAAGCAAAAAAAAATATGCGTTTGAACATATCTAATAATCCTGTTTCTCTCCTTTCATTAGTATCAAAATTAATTTTAAATGCAATATGCTACATGCATTTTCAATTACAACAGGTAAATTAAATCAACTATTACTTTTATTAGTAACATATATGTCACACATGCCTACAAACAAAGTATTTTAAAATCACAGACATCAAATTAGATTTATCTGTGTAAATATTCCAAAACCAGGTGGAGGTACCTAGACATAATTATTTTATATTAAAGAAAAAACCATACACGTTGTATATTTACTGCGAATAACAAAGAGCTTTCTACACTTTGCCAATTGTACTTTTTCCCCCGCTAGAGATGCTCTATGATAACAGTAAATGAAAGAACAGGAAGAATTAAATATTTCAAGAAAGTTAAAGACGGCATTTCAGACACACGAGTAGGGAGAGAGAAAGAGGTAGGACACGGCGGTGACATCAGCTCGGATTGATGGCACTGGCCAAAAGCAGTCACCAAGGTGGAGGATTAACTCTTGAAATCCCACCTACCTTGGTCGTTGGCTTGTGATGTTTCGGAGACGTTGACGGCGAGCTGGCTGCTGAAGGAGTTCACCCCCATCATGCCGGTGTGAGCGGGAGTGTTGGCTAGAGTGGGGATCTGGTTGTGGTTGCGGGGCACGCTGTACAACGCCTCGGCAATGTCAGCTGCTCGTTTCAGGATTATCTCCTGGAAAGACAGAAAAGAGGCTCTGACAACTCAGACGCTGATTTGCGCAAATAGCCCAAGTTGCAATAATGCTAAAGTTTATCAAAGAGATTCAGGTGGAATTATAGTGAGGGCGGAGAGTTTGCTGCGTGTTTCAACAACACCTCCTGTTTTTCTCATGCAATTCCACCTCAGCACAGTAAGTACAAAGAAATAAAGAAATTAACATAAAATCAGAGTTTAGCACTGGAAGTCAAGTCAAAATCCCAACACACATTTTATTCACTCAAGGGGGGAGATGTATTTTCAGCAGTTTGCAAAATACAGTAGGTCTGATCTGCTCAGTTTAGCAGATTTCTTTAGGACTTCCCATTAGTCACTGTATATTTTGGCCCGAGTTCAAGGTTATTCTCTTGCCTTAATGCTTGCTTATGCTTTTGGCACCTTACACTTAATTGTCATTTCTGATGGGCAAACGAGCGGCGAGAGGAGAAGGGGAAGATGAAGCGTTTCCCTCGGAGCATTGCATCACATCAGACTGCCCTCA